TTGCTGTTCTTAGACAATTGTGTACTGCTGAAAGGCAACCCCCGGGAGAGAAGGCAAGAATTTTGTGGGTGCCTACACGGCACCAGGTTGCTGACTCATTGGCAAAGTCTGGGCGGCATCTTGAAATGCAGCAGGTTGTTGACAGTGGAATGGTCACTTTCCACGGAATTTCCCAGAAGAATCTTTCAAAGTCAAGAAGAGTTTTACACCAGTGTGAAAGTTGACCTGTCCCATGCTGTTGACTTTGAACCGTGCATCTTTTGACACCGATCTATCACGATCATTTCTTTCTCAAGAGCAGGGCCCTTGGTAGTGGTTGAAAAAGGCGTTTGTTTTGACATGGCTTGTCATCAGCTTCGTTGACAACAATAAATGCTCAATATTAGGTGTGTTTTACTTCTTAGAGCTCCACACATAAGAAAAAAAATCAGCATTTTGAGCCGCATATTTTTCCTGTTTTTGTTTTGGGGCATTTGTTTTTTCTGGAGCTTTGAGATTTGTTCGGATTTCGCATTGGTTATTTCTCCTTTGAAGTCTTTGTTTTCTTAGGAAGAGCTTAAACATGTTCTTTTGGAACTGTTTTTTTATTGAATTTTCATTGTTGAAGGTTTTGTTTTTTCGGTTTCGTTTGCTGGGCGAATTCTATCTTCTGGGCATGTTTAAAACTCTTAGTTGAATCCCGCGAGGCACGCGCCGAGTGCCATAACCTGCCGAGAGTTCATTTGTCTTGAGGGTATTGTTCCGTCCTCACTGGATGCAATGGAACTAGCAAGCGGGATCTGTGGTCACTTCAAGAAATGGTGTGTTGATGAGGTCTGAGACTCAAACTCATCCATACCAGGGTTGGACGACCAAGGGTCGTTTTGCAAGCAGTTTCCTGTAAAGGACCCGTTGTTCAGTCCATTTTTTGCCTTACAATTCGTTTGGAGGAATCTTATATTTTTCCTTCAAGTTCAAAATTTGGAACCCCATTTTCTTGATTACATTGCCTTCAGGGAATTTTGATTAACTTTATGTTCTTTGATTTAGTTCTATCAAGAATCCAAGGGGTTTTATTTCATGAGCTTCTTGTCTAGTCAGAACTCCAGTTTTTGCATTCTCGAGGTTCCGATGCGTCTCATATTTGTTGAGCTTTTGTTGATGCTTTACATTCGAGTCCCAGTTTTACGCTTTTGCTCGATGTGCTGTAGATCAAAACCAGATACATAAAATATGAATAATACCTCAGCTCAGCTGGTGTAAATGCAGATCCGTTTCATTTTGTAATTGTACGTTTCTTGCACCCGGTGCAAACAGTTTCGATGAGCAAAACTCGGCCAAACGCCACCACCTGAGTCCTGGATCTCCTGTTTCTTGGCCACCATCACCACCACCACCCTAAAATAAATTCCCTTGCCCCTGTGACAGTCTGAATTGTACTTGTTTTCAGCTGTTTTCCGTTTCATGTTTTGCCCGCATCTACATTGCCGAAATCTTGGATTGCCACATGTGATTGGCGTGAGTAGAGCCGTAATCTATATGAGCCGAGCCGTAATCTATATGAGCCTGGTTGGGCCAACTATTATTATATATAGAGAATTAGCGACTTGTCCAGCGAAATTGGTTATTTGGATACAGTCACTTCACTATGGATTCGCTTGATGCAGCTTTGAAACTGTGATGCGCATCTCAGAGACAATCCGCCCTTTACAAGTACCTCAAAAAGTATGTGCGCCTTTTCAGAATGAACTTTCACCAAACAAGCAGGACTTGTGAAATTTGGCGTGCATCACCTTGAACTTTGGGGCCCGTGCAAGTGTGTGGTATTGGGGACGTCTTGCAGGCATCATGGTTCGTTGCTGCCATGCACTCCTTGCTCACGGGCACACACTGTGGCAGTATGTGGACGATCTCTTGGCCTGGTGGGACAAATCATCATCCCCGCTTTGGGCTTCATTAGTTGTGTTACTTCTTCTCATTCTTGGCGTACCGAGGCAGCACTGGCGGATACGGTCGACTGGATTGGGTGGCGGATTTCAGTGTCAACGTGGACAGTGGCAGTTCCACCAGGTAAGTTGGTACGGATTGTTGAACAGATCAAGTCGATTCAGAAATCCAGACAACTCACTCTTCGTGACCTTCAATCCTTGGTCGGCAGGCTGTTGTGGTTGACTTCAGCATGGCATTACCTACGACCGTTGCTCATACCACTTTGCAAAGCCTTGCGCCGTATCCCAACAACTATGGTGGGCATGGACCATGTCACCTTTCATTCTCTGGTCCAACAGTTGGATGATCAGTTGCAGCTTACTGCCTCACTGACTCACAAGCATCAATCCCTGCGGCCGGGCATTACATTGGTACGCATTGCTAACTCCAATTATCAAACCTTGGATGAGGTGCGGTCGTTCGTTACACATCAAATCCAGACGGATCTGGGTGGGTATCCTCGACCCTACATCACCACATCGCAAACTGGATGGCTGGTGTGGTCACAGCTATTGGTCTTCCTTATCCATGTGCTCTCCAGTGCAGATCCCCGTCCAGGCGACACCTGACGCTATGGCCTCCAAAGACTTGGCTGGCCTTGGTGGAGCGGCTTTCTTCAATGATGGCTCATCATGAGTGGTTTCAGTTCCGAATTCATGTGGATGAGGCCCGAGCCCTCTGGCCATGGATTGGCAAAGACATGCAAAAACACATTGCTGCCTGGGAATTGCTTGCGCAATTTGCGTTGTCCTTTTGCATCGACGCCTTACTGCCCAGAACCCGCGGACCAATCATCTGCCATCAGGCCACGGACAACAGCGCTGCGGATGCAGCATCTGCTAAGGGCCTTACGATGACTCGTGCAGTTGCTGCGGTGCTTGCACCCTATTTCACCTTTCTGAGGAGATTTCAGATTTTTCCCCCTTATTACTCACATCCCTGGGCGCCTCAACATGTTGGCTGATGAATTGAGTCGCTTCACAGTGCCATTGTCTACAACACTGGATCCAACTGCGCAACTGACGATCCCATGGCAAGACCTACTCTGCTCTTCAGGCATTCAAGTGACCCAAGTCGGTTGAAAGTGGCCGTCCAACTTTGACATTCGACTGCGAGAAAAAAGGTTGCTGCAGTCCGCTGACTGGGTGCCTCCATCGATTAGTCTTTGGGGAGTTCTTACTCCGGCGGGTCGATTGTCGATAAGGTTTGGTTCTCTGGGAACTCCCCACCTAAAAGTATCGATCCTAACATACCCCGGCATTTGGGTTGTCTGATCGGTTTGGTTGGGGGCACTTGTTTTTAGGTCCTACTGTACAAACTGGACCCGCTGGTTCGTTGTAGTGTGTACAGGGCTGACCTAAACATTGCACCACGCCTTTAATGCACTCTTGCGGCAGCCTTTTTCGTGTTGGATGTCAACTGTAGTGTTAATAGATTTGGGGAAACTGAAGCAACGGAAGCCATTGCGTGAACGAGACAGAAGCAGATGGTAGAGCCAATACAACCCGTGGAGTTCATGGAACTCATGTAGAAGAAGATGGCGATAAGATGGAAGTGGATGAAACTCCTGCTGAAAGGAAGGCACGATATATGTCCTCCAGCCAGGAGGAAGTATCAGACCCAGAAGAATGGGCAGAGACTCACTATGGAAACCTTGATGTGAACAACTACGGGCGTATGGTGGCATTCTCCAGAGCCAATCAGCTTCGACTACGGAGTGCGCTGGAATCTTTGCGGATGAGGCGCAATATAGCAGAAGTGGATGGCAACTGGGAGGAGGCTAGCAACTACTCCCGTGCGATGGCCGAAATCGAAGCTCTCATTGACATTGCCTAGCTGCTGTGGTGATGTTGGGCAAAGTGGTGCGCAATGAACGCAGAGACAAATCAGAGCACCATATACTCCAGCTGATCGAAGTGAAAATACTGAGACTGGCTGAGGTTGAACCAAGCCGGAACCTTAATTAAGGCACAGATGGCTCTGTAGTGAACCAAAATTGAATTTATGTGGTGCTACAGCACGAAGCTGGCATAGCACCAAGGTGGGGTGTGAAACTTGAGTTACTCCACTCATGCACATGTACGGGCATGTAGGTTCCAGGTAGTTGAAACGAAACAAAGAAGATTAGCATGGCTAATTGTCTGCATGATGACATGCACAAATTCAGTGTACTTGTTGCCTACAGTGGCTCAGATATGCTCAGTGGAAAAGTGAGGGTTTGAGCGACTTGCCAATTTGTTAGAGTCATCCATTCCGGCTGCATACGGCGAAATCCACAGAGGAAATCACTCGTGCGCAGCCAGACTTGTTTTTTGGTCAAACAAAAATCCAATTTGAGTGATTTCCGAAAATACGGTTGGAGAAAACACGCCAAATGATTCAAATGATTGATGTTTTATGATAAAGCAACGTCGGTGGGGTGTTCGTGAAAATCAGACGCAAACAAATCAGTTTGTTGTTGTGAAATTAGGCCCCAAGGAAGGTGAACATTTCAGCTTCACATCACATAGACGCGCATTTGCACCAAACATGTCGTTGGATAATTTTCACTTTTGGCCCATTTTTCTTTTGCCGCTAGAGTGTGCATAGCAAAACTGACCCAGCAACGAAACATTTTTGTACACAAAAACTATGTGTGTGGCAACCCTGGCAACCATTCACAAAATTGACATCAAAAAGGCAAGGTGGAAAAATATGTGTTGGCCCAGAAAGGACCGGCGAAATTTTCAAAACCTCTTGGAAACAATGAAGTAATGCCATTGTTGAAACGTTTGGCCGGGCTTTGCAACGCAAAACATGTTCAAACTTTGTTCCCAGCTGTTTTGTGTTTGTTGTGGTGTGGCATTTTGGAAATTCCCATGTTGAAATGTTTGCAAGGTGGGTTCTCAATTTTTCAGATGTTGAACGGATGCAACTGAGAAATTTGATGCAACTGGGAAGGAATTTCGCAGTGACTTGTTGAAAAATCAGAATTGCATTGTGGCCAATTGTGTTGCATTGAAAACATCCCGCATTTTGTGGCTCAAGGTCAAGTAGTGTTTAGCAACTTGACGCTGTACTGTATCACTTTTCATTCCCACTACGGTAGTCTAGGTGACGGCGCGCAATATCGGAACGTGCAATGACATCAATGTGGTTTGTGTTGATCCATGCCCTCGGCTTGGGTTTGATCGTTGAAATCGCCGCCAACACAGATCCGAGTGATTGCAGCACGAACTTCCCTGGTAGCGCATCTTGTGATCGCTACCATGATGGTGCAGCCTTCTTGCAAGCTATGCAAAGTCGATCTCAGCAAACGTTGGGAGCAGATCGAGTAGATCTTGAAATTTTGAGTCAAGGTGCCGAAAAAGCCCTGAGGGCTGGTTGCAATGTAACCGATTTGAACAACGGCGCATGCATAGGAAATGATGTATGTGTAGGATGTAACTTGCCAGGTGCGCAAGGAGTTTTGCCACAAACAGAAGACTTCTTCCCGAACAGAGAATTTCGTTGCGAAGGCAACCGCACTTGCTCACAGGTTGTTGACTCACCATTCACGTTCGCTTCGGCTGGACAAGCCATGGTCTGCATCGGAGATGCGACCTGCACAGATGTCTGGTTCGTTTCAAATGTGGGGGCAGTGTGCTGTTCATCTGCAAATGATGGGGACACTTGCTCCAATTCATCCTTCAATTTGACGGTCAACGATGTCATTTGCCAAAATGATGTGTGCTGTGATGGCACTCGGGTGTGCACAAATTCTACTATGTACGACGTTGAAAGCCTCCTTTGCCGTGGTCTTCTTGCCTGTTCCGACTCACAGGTGATCTTGGAGCAAGACTTGTACTGCAACGCCACCTCAGAGTCCAATCCATCATCGTCCGGGAGCACTTGTAGCGATAGCACTTTCACTTTTGTGGTCAATGACACGCATGTGGTGGATTGCCTGGGTGACTTCGTATGCGAGAACTCCAACTTCAGCTTCAATCAGGATTCCGCGATCAATTTCGATTGTGATTCCGAGGCTCCAGGTACAGGAGGAGGAGCGGTTCTCGGGGAAAGGGATGGTTGTTGGGCTCACCCCATGGGTCATGGGATGTTTTCCGCGATGTAGCGGGATGTAGTGGTTAGTGGGATGTTTGTTGGGATGTTTGTTGGCAACTTTTATTTTGAAATGGGGCGCATAGAATTCGGGGATACACATGGATAAACCGATAAACCCAAAAAAAAGGGCAGTGATGACGGTGTTTTCTTTTCATGATCTGGATCCCGAAGGACAGGGTGCGTGCAACAATGCCACAATCAACTTGGCACCTGGTGCCTGCTTTGAGTTGAACTGCATCCAAGACGATGATTGCATTGGCTTGGTGGTGAACCTGTTTGGGGGCAAATGTTATTTCAACATGTTCAACCAGGAGAACCGTCCCAATTTTGTGGATGTTTGCGACAAGTTCAACTCAACTGGATTGTCTCCATGTGGACCTATCACGCCGCAAGAAATCTGCTGCCGAGACGATCCATCATGTGCCTCCTGCTGTGTGGATATCAACATCACCACTACAAGTGCGAACGGGAGTGGTTTCCCTCCCACCTCCAGCACCTCCACCACCTCCACCACCTCGACTACGACTACGACGACTACGACGATTTACCCTCGCAACCGCCGCAATCGCCGCAACAGGCGCGAGCACCGCAGGAACCGCCGCCAGAATCGCAGGAACCGTCGTCAACATGCACGACAGTACCGCTACAGTTGAGGAGGTGGTGGATGGAAGATGTGAGATGCCAGGATTCTCTGAAGATGGGCAAAGATCCATTGAGAGCCGGGGCTGGATTAGATATATGAACTGGAAATTTTTCCAGGCGGCATTTGCACACTTCCGATTTGTATTGCAGCCGTGGTAAAATAGAGCACACTGCAGAAGATTGGTGCTGCTTGTGTGTGGATTCCGAATGCATTCTTTTGCACACTTGAAGAACAGTTGAGTCGCAATTTGATTGCAGAATTGTTGTGTCTTGACCTGCAAATGCCTTTGGCTGCTCAGAATCAGCAAGCACTCGCATGACACGATGAGAATGATGTGCATGCTCTAGCAACACTGCAGGAGTCAGCGTGCACCGATTGCAGACGGCTGTCTGCAAATGGGTTACACTGAAATCCAGTCGGTATTTATCATTGGATATCATTGGTTTATCAAGATTTTTCCATATTTTTTCCTATTTATATAAATGGCAACACATATCCATCAATTGGGCAGTCTAGTGAGTCTAGTATATCAGTGTATCTCATATTTTATTCTTGCAATTCTCGCAGATGGTTGGATGGGATGTGTGTCTTTCGAGTCCGTTGCCTGATCACATGGTGCCTGATTTTGAGAGCAGCAGCCCCAGAAAGAAGCATTTCTTGGACAAACATCGGCACTTGAAATGTTACATGGCTTTAAAATCTTGAAATAGCTCAAGTAGGAACCCCCAAAAAATAGAGATGTTGGGAGGACCTATCTTGGTAACTTTATGAGATCTGCTAGCCGAGTTGAATTTCTGGCAAACAAAACATGGATCTCTCTTTGGTGCATTTTGGGGCATTGCGCCAGTATTGAGGTCAGTCCGCAATCTGTGAGGTTGCGACCTGAAACCATGAGTGCAGTGTTGCAGCACTGCATGCAGGACAGATGCCATGACCGAGTCAGAGTGTGCCAGATTGTGGCAGAGTGGCAGAGTATATTTCAAACACATTGAAACAAGTTGAAGATTGATGAAGATTGATGAAGATTGAAAGAATGTCAAAACGGCGAAATTTCGACTCTTGAAATCGCTTGAAATGCATTTGGAAAGAGCTGTGTGTCCGACGGATGTAGGATCCATCAGTGCTTGAGAAGCTGGATCTTTCAGTGCTGTCACTAGAAACCTCGGGAGTTCCCAAGATTGAGGTCATCGAGGCGTTTCGAATGCTTTCCGTGAGATTGAAACGGACACGAATAGCTGCTTGAAATTGTTTGAATAGAGATTCCTTGCATCCAAGGGGGTGAGAGTTTATCAATTCAATGCCTTCACATGCCTTTCAAATGCCATGAATGCTTTTATGACAATGCCATATCTGAGGTTCCACTTCATTTTGCGGAACGTGTTGCGGATATTTTTTGACGCTAGTGACGATGCTGAGGCCCCTTCGTTGTCGAGCATGGCCACGGCGGTGTTCTGCATCTCCCAGATCCTGTTTCGCCGAAACGGTGGAGCAATGGCCATCGAAGTTTACACTGGCGAAGGATGGCTTGCTTCCAGGTGCCAACCACATCCAACCACTGGTTTTCTTCACTGCTGATGTTCCATGATGGATCAACTTATTATAGTTCCATGATGTTTCATGGGAAGTTCCATGGCAGTTGAATTCCTGTGCTGAAATTTTGAAATGGACCGAACTTCCACTTCTCTGAGTCGCTTTTGAAGGCCCAGTTGGTCACGTTGAGTCATGTCACACGTCTGAGAAAGATTTTAGATTCAGAACATTTTGACACATCGATATCATTTGAGGATATGTGAAGAGGTTCAACAATTTTACCATACCGAGGTTTCTTAAAATTGGATGTTTTTTTCATGGAACATCCGAACATCAAATGGATGATTAATTTTGGGTACCCCGGGTACCCCTTCCAAATCAGGAAACCTCCATGTCCAGATCTTTGAAAACCAACATGTCTCCATTTTTTCGTTTTCCAAAATGTCCAAAACGGTCATGGCCGCAGCATGGCGAACGGAGCCGCAGTGGCGCAGCTGGCGCAAAGCGAGGTGCGGGCGACTTCTTGGGGATCAAGTCTGATTTTTTTTTGGCAAATAGATCATCACAATATATATATATGCTGTTTACTAAGTGTTTACCCCTATGATAAGCTAATAACTAGCAATAACGATATATATATATATATATTATAGTAACAAAGCATGTTTCAAAGGTTTACCACGTGTAGTATCAATACATAGCAAATCAGTAATCAGTATATAAACAACCGTAACCAAACATATCCATTTTAATGGTAGAGATGGACGTGGCTGTTGGGTTCGCACCTGAAGGGCCTGTTCCAGGCGTGTGCTTCTGATGTGCCCCTCTTGATCACCCTGGAGGGACAGCGGAAAAGTGTGGAGTCTTGGACCATCTCGGAGCTTTTTGGGAAAGATCTGGAAAGATCTGGAGAGAATTGGGGGCTCTGGGACAGCCAAATCTGCTGATTAGTCATATTTTCGTAAAGAATCTTCATGAAACGACCATTTTGACGTGTGTTGCAAGGTATTAAAACCAAAGTTTCCAATAAATGTCCAATCAAAGTCATCAGTCTGAAACGGTAAACCAGTAGATCAGAATATTCCTATATATTACATGGTATGCTATTGAAAAATCGAAACATCACTGCCTATTTAATGTGCGTCTCGTGGTGGGTCGACGGCTCGAAGGAGCGCTTAATGTCACGGGACCTGCCGACAGCATCTGTGTGGTTGCAGACGACTCCAATCCCAAGTCTCATCAAGCGACTGGAAAAGACCTTTGAGGCTGGGCGTCTAAGGTGTGTTTTTGGTCTTAAATAATGTGGGTAAAACAAAGCTACGAACCACCCATTTGGGTTTTGTGGGTTGTTTTACCCAGCTTACTTCAGATGATTCCACCTCTTGCAGTTCTTACATCTTCGGGTATGACTCACATGGTTTCAATCTGTTTCAAGCGTTTCAATTCGTTTCAATCACGAAGGGTAGTCAGTGCGTCAGGTACCTGAGTTCTGTGCGCTTTAGCACTTCTTCGTTTTGGGGACAACTGCATGTGGCCTTGATTTTTTACACACTTAAGGGACTCTATATGTGAAGATGGGGGGGCTCTACAGTGGTTGAAATTTCAAATGGTTGAAGTTTCAATCCCTGTTGTGCATGTGTATTTATTTCCTGGCTTTTTGAGCGTTCTTTTACGCTTCCTTGCTTTGCACGGCTTTCCATTTTTGGGGCGCCACAGCCCTCCTCCTACTCCTTTTTCTCCTTTTTCTCCTTTTTCTCCTCATCCTCATAAATCCGCCCCATCCTGGTCCTCCCTACCATCCCCATCCCCATCCCCGCCACAATCAGCATGTCAATCTCCATCTCCATCTCCATCTCCATCATCGTCAGCGTCATCGTCATCATCATCATCACCATCATTGCAACGATCACTATATTACCTTAGTCCTGAATCTTTCCGAACATCACATCTATCGTCATCATTGCCGTACTTTCCTTCGTATTCCGTTTGAGTCTCATCTACATCAAATGTTGCACCTGTGTCCCAGAAAGCGTGACGAGTCGATGATTACAGGAACAAAAATCAGCCTGTGCTCGGCACTCTCCCTTTTCATCATCATAACTACACACCTTTCGTTCTGCCCTTTTTGCTTTGAAGTTGGCAAAATAGATAGGCAAACACGATCACTCAAGAAGGTCTAAATTTTGTAATTCCCAGGGTGTCAGAAGGCTTTCAGCCACAAACCAGGTGCATTCGGTGCATTCGAAACTTTTCCAGTGCATTTTTTCAATTTCTTTCAGACTTCTCAGGCGAAACAGCTGACCTTGGTGGCCCTGGAGGGTTCTGCATATCCAAGCGAGTTATGTCCCAAGGGCTGCAGACGTGGTGAGACCGGACTCTTTAGCAACATCTTGGACGCTCAGGTTTAAAGCAAAAGATGACCATGTATGGATATATATATATGGATATATATATATATATGGATATATAATATATATATATAAGATATATATAAGATATATATATATGGTTCATTTAGCTTCATTTCATTTTATGGAAGTTGTTTCAGTTGTTTCTTGATGGGTGTGCTGGAGGGTCGCTAGTGCTCTGGCCTATCCATACATTTGGCAATAGGAGATTGGTTTGTTGTCTCTCATTGCAGCAGGAAAGCACGACTGAGATGTTTCCTCTGAGGACTGCTTCCGATGTCCACAACCACAGAAGAATCAGAGCGCCCTACGAGAAATCTGTGACCATTTTCTGGCGAACAGGACCATTGTTCTTTTCCCAGATGACCGGGTCAACTGTTTACAATAAACATGTTTGAAGGTTTCTGGCCAATGAAGGAATGCGCAGAATTTATCAAACATCTTGGTTTTCCACTCTGAAGCGACCATTTTGGTAGATGCCTGGCAAAGCCTGGTGTAGATTCGGGAATGAAGAATTTGAAAGGTCAGACAGGGAAAAATATCATATATTATTGTCATATGTGAGCATATGATGTCATGACCTTTATTTCTTCAATGGTTCCAGCTTTTTTTCAGGACTTTAGAGCTGGCCATCATCGATACTGGGGGCCCGGCCGTGGAGGAATGGTATGTGCTGGAGACCTACTGCCGACCTCGCAGCGTTTTCATCGTGAACTCGGTCTTCGCGTTGCACGAAGGCTGGATCGCTGCACGCTTGCGGTCAGCTGGCTGGAAGGAAGTGCTGAGTGGTCGCTTGAGATGGGGAAATGGCTTTCCTCATATGCTGAGCTTGGTGGAGGAGTCCTCGGAGTTACTGAGTTGGATGGGACATGGATGACATGGAGACTTGAAGAGGTAGTATGCTTGTGCGGAAGTTGCAGAGTTGCTACAACCTCATTCTTCGTTTGTTTTTTTTGGCTGGCCAGTGTAAAGAATCAACATGAACATCAGGGATCAGGCTCACCAAGAATGATACAAACCTTTGATCCCTGCATATTTTGACTTGGAAAGCCGTTCGCCAGGAGACTGGCTGGGTCTACATGATGGATTTTGGCTATTTTGGTTGAAGTTTGCGCTGTTTGCGGCGCTGTTTGCGTGGCAGGATCTCGAGATCCTCCGGTGGACGAGATCGGGCGATGGGCCCCAACGGCCCCAACGGCCCCAACGGCCCCAACGGCCCCAACGGCACCGGCAACAGATGCATCGGATTGGGGCGGATTGGAGGTGAAACATGGCGAAACATGGTGAGAGCTGGTGAGCTGGTGATAAACAGTGAATCGGGGAGACTGATCTCCTGCCAGCTACTAGGGGCTGAGTGAGATCCAAGCTGAAGTGAGGAGGGTTGCGGAGGGTGGAGATTGCCAAAAGTGGAAAAGTTGCAACGGTGAAGAAGTTTTTCTCGAGAACAGTTTCAAAAGACCATGCGCTTTCTCTACTCTGAACTATTGGCCAGCAGAAATGTCCTCCTTGATTCTTGTCGGTTTAGGCTCAAGTGACACGTCACTTCGTTTGCTTTGAAGTATATTTACATGCAAAACCATACGAAACCGGACTACGATCGTGACACAGTCACTTCACAAGTTCAGTGGACCTCTTCATGAGTCCAGAAGGTGAATGGCAAGCTATGTGAATCTTAACACAAGTTCCAACATTGGAAGTTTGCAGTTCCTACGAATATCACATCATAGGCTCGTAGCTCCTTTCCATTTTATCGGGTGTACTTTCCCATGCCACCCAGCCTTTTACGGAGGCCTTGGGGTCGCGTTTTGTTCTTGGCATTTCTCTTTGTCCCCACCTTGCTGCAAAGCGAAGATTTTGCCGCCATCGATGCCATCGCCGCGCCAAGATCAAAGGGACTTGGGAAGAAACGCCGGAGCAGAGAGGGGCCTGCCATTTCTGTGGAGAATCAAGCTCGACTGCGAAGCTTGCAAAATCTCGCCGAGAAGTCGGAAAAAGCATTGGCCGTGATTCAGGAGGTGATTCAAAAACCAGAAACTTTGACCAGGGTCAAAGAGGTTCAAGCCTTCATTTCTGCCTGTGGGCGGCTACACTTCTGGAGGGAAGCTTTGGATTTGTTGGAGCTGAAGCGTACGGGCGCGTGGCCCGTGGGGGACATTGTCTTGACCAACGCTGCCATTTCGGCCTGTAGTCAGGTGGGAAACTGGGAGGCGGTGCTAGGAATCCTGGAGGATGCGCCTAGGCATTCTGTATCTCCGGACATCATCTCCTACAACCTGGCGATGGGGGCCTGCTGCAATGGTAGGCAGTGGGAAAGGGTTCTGAGCTTGGTGAACGACCTACAACAGGTGAAGGGCCGCAAGGATTTTGCCACTTTCAATGTGACCTTGCATGCTTGTGTCCAGGGTGGCCAGTGGGAGCTTGGCCTTGCCTGTTTGAATGAGATGTTGGCTCTGGATCTGCAACCCACTTGGACGATGTACAACTTGGGAATTTTGCTGAGCCGTGGGAAGCTGTGGCAGTTGGGTCTCAGCTACCTGGAGGACATGTGGTCGCGGCTGGTGATGCCGGACGTCACGACCTACGCCTCCACCGTGGAGGCCATCACCGCCATGACCGACGCGGCCGCGCCCGGTGATGCGACGTGGCGCCCGGCGCTGGCGCTGCTGGCGTCCATGCGCCGCAAGGGCTTCCCGGTGCCGCCGGCGACGCGCGAGGCCGTGGCCCGCGCCTGCGACGAGGCCGGCGAGGCCCAGGTGGCACAACGGATCCGCAGGTGAGGAAAAGATGGAAAATAAACAGTCGAGAATGGTCGAGATATGTCGAGATCATGGGAGATGACGGGGATCATATGGGATCATGGGAGATGGAGAAACCTGAAAAGCCATGAAAGGCCTCATTTTTAGTGGGAAGATTGAGTGTTGCACAGTGTTGCACAGTGTTGCACAACTTGCTTGAGCAAAATGTATCATGAAGTCATGAAGTATCCGTATCCAGAAATCAAACGTGTGCATGTTGAGGGACTGTCTTGACTGCAAGCTGCAAGGCTCACAGGCTGTGGATTGAGGAACATGCCAACTTGATCAAACTTTAACATCTTTTAACTTGTTTCCAGTTCAAGGGCACGCAGAGTGAACACTGAGGGTGCCATGGCCGCCAGTGGCGCCGCCATTCAACCGGCCACGGCCACGGCGGTTGGCCATGCCTGGATTCTTGGTGCCACTTTCGACGAGAGAAGCCTTCCAGCTGCCAGATGCAGGGGAGACGACATTGGGCCGGAGATCGACCTGTTCCATTGTTACTTTGCACATCTTCGCATTATTTTTGCACAGCATTCAGTTTCAGATTTTGGTGGTTCAGATTTTGGAAATTGCTGATTTGAAGAATTTTGGAGAGGCTTTGTTTCTCATTTGTCTCATTCAGGTTTGCGCAGATGAAACGGCCAGGGTCTTACTCAATTGCATGCCATGGATGGCAGGGCAGTTGCGGTTGATGCGGTTGATGCGAATATTGAATAGTAATTGCATAGCTCCTAGATCCCTTGACCGTCCTTGACCTTTGAAAGTTTGAATCCTGCATGTCTGAGGTAAGTGGCCTTCACTGCACCATTTTCAGCTTGGGTCCTGATGATTTCGAGTTGGAGGACGCCAGCAGAAATGGCACCTACTGGAACAATGCGCGGTTGCTCAAGGCCTCAGAAGATTGGGACGTGCAGATTTGCCGCAATTTGCCACAGTTTGAGGATAACATCCGTTTTGTGTAGCTGGGTTATTTGTTTGGTGCAGCCAGGGTGAGCGCAAACATCTTGAGTTGAGTCTCCAGTCCTGTTGTGTCCAAGATATTTAGTATTATTTAATATTATTTAGTGTTTTAACTTATTTTCAATCCTTGTTTAGGAAGTTTAGGGGATGATAATCTCGAATGACTGGCATGATGATCATGATGCCTGGAGATTTCTCATGGGTTCAAAAACATCAAGCAGCAGAAATCCTTGAGCCCAGGGCCAGCGGGTTAAGCTGAAAGCCGGTGACATCTTGTCCCTTTCACCAACTGCCAGGCCACAGAGCTTTTCCAGATGGCTACTCTGTGATTTTACCCTCTGGTAATGACTAACATAGCGAACTGGAAAATGGCCCAGTGATAGGTTGATTTACCTATTAACAGTATTTTAAACAGGTGATTTTCAATAGTTTTGCCAGTTTACCGGAGGGTAACGGATCTTCAAAAGATCATGGTCAGGATAAGGACTATTTGCAGCTGTGGAATGGGAAAAAAACTGCAAAGGATACGAGAAGACGAACTTGGACTTGCGTCTTGATGAATCTGAAACTTTGATGACTTTCTTCATGACTCATGACCCTCAATGAATCCCCCTAGGGGAAGCCTTCTTTTCGTATCATGTCTTGACATGTCTTGACCACTGGAGTCACTGGACACAGAGTCTTCGAAGTCCTCCGTGCCAGGCCTGGGACTTGCTTCCGCCTTGTCGATAGCTTCGACAGCTTCGACAGCTTCCATTCATATCCAGCGGTCACCAAGAACGGTGACAAGACTTCTGTATCTCGGCAGTGTAGCGATGGGTTTGTGGATCTTGGTATATCTTGGTATATTTTGGTGCTATTCTGTGTTGGACAGATGGATTTTAGCAGAGGCCTTGCGGCGGATGTCTGCCATGGAGCAAGATGAGGTTTCGGATTCGAAGGCACAACCGAGCTTGGAAGGGCACTAGGGCCACTAGGGATTTTTTTTGTGTCCACCTTTCACATCTGATGTCAACCACATGGTTCGTTTTTCCGGGAGGATTTGCATTTTCTTTGTGATGACTGGATCAGCATCCAAATATCCCTGGTGATGATCAATGGGTAGCTGATCCAAGGGGAACAGTTGCACAGTTGAACCATTCTCATAGGATGAATGGGTACGGATAACTAGAGACAAGAACTTCATAGAACTTCTATCTCCCAAAAGTGCGGAAACACCGCATTCTGCGATGTTTCCGCAAGTCGGTCGCTTGGCAAAGTGGCGTTCAGCCACAGCCACAGCGAGGCAAAAGCCACTGAAGTGGTCCAGGATGGCGAAGCCGTGCCAGGTGAGTCTGGGAATTCAATTTGGTCACTGAGAAAAATGTGGTGAGATGTAAAGAGTCGATGATATTCAATGATAAACCATCCGCGGACATTAATGGGGTAAATATATGTAAATATGATCCGGTGTTTGATTGGAATAGCCGCTAGCCCCCCAAACGCTTGCTGAATGGGATGGTTTTGTTCTATTGGGGTTACCACATTATTTCAATGACGACAGGTTCGGAGAGGAACAATGGATCTGAACAACCACAGCTGACGGTCCCTTGGCAAGCAACACTTTCAAACAAAAGTTGCAGACAAGGTGGTGTGTGATATAATATCCACTCCCATTCCAATGGTCCCCAAATACGTGATTTCATCCCCAAACCATGGTTTTTTTTGGGGTTAATATCAACGGGACGGGATAATCACGACCGAGCCTGTGAGGTGCAAAGAACATCGAGCGACCTGGTTGAATTGGCAAACATCTATGTTTGGGAGTGTTGATGAGGGAACCATACCTTGGACGAAATTCCACTCAACATGGAGCACCCCCAACAAACACCAGGAATCTGAAGATCAAGAAATATCACCCAGTAATAGACCCAGTAATAGTGTAAATCGTGATTTTGAATAGATCATAGCCAATCATAGCCAATCTTGGTTCATTATTGGGTTTACCACGGTTCTTTTTGTTGGGCTGTGAGGACCTCTTCTAATCCTGCCCGGGCACGTGCCACCTCTGAAGCGGCCCAGACCGATGCCTGGCGTTGATTGGAAATGCCATTCATGGGATGATCTGATGGTACTCGGTGGATGGATGATCGTGGGATATTTTTGTATCAATGGGATATAGAGTTATAATTTGGTATTATTGGAATATATCTATCAGGACCATGAACAGTACTGCCAGTGATGCTGCCTGTGTAGAAACAATATGAAGAGAACCCATGACATTAGAGATGATAGAGATGACTCTTCAGAATTCTTTAGATATCTTTCGTTCACATGGTGTGATGGAAACATGTTGCTGGCCCGAAAACAGCATAGAGGAAGGATCTCTGTCACCTTCGAACAGCCCTGTGAGCGTAGGAATTTCAGCCTGTCCTGATGTGCAGCAAGCAGCTTCGTGTCAGAAACCTAGCAGCAGTTTTCGCCATGCAGT